GAAAGTCGAACATGAAAATACTCATCTCCACAGATATGTATCCAACCACAGTGCTCAGTAATCACACGCTACAAGACAAGTAGCATGAGCTGATGGGTAGTTGTAGACACGGTTGAGATTCCACTTTGTCCGCTGATCAAAGGACTTAAAAACTAACGACCAAAGTGGCGATCACAACATACTGATCATCTTTGTGGCGGCCACGCGATTGCCACGCGGTGGCCACGCGACTCGGACTTTGCCGCGTCTGATCGTACGCGTTCAGAACCTCGACTCGGTTCGGCCAACGACCGTACACCCACCAGCGCATCTTTATGTGAGGCCTCCTAAATGCTCTGAGTTCGTATTATAGGTGCTTTGCGGACTTGCCTCGCGTCATGATTCCCAGTATACGACCAAGGTACTAAGCAGCATCCTTATACACATGCAGCCTGCGATACGTGGGTTGTTGACCCATCAAGCTATTCATACTAGGTCTTGTCTGCGCACTTGATGGATCCGATATGTCTAGGATCTATACAGAGCCTCACACTGTATGCTTTCTTCACAAATGACAAGTCGGCCTGATGGACCATCGAGCTATTCCCGGATCAGCTGTGAGAAGAGCTCTGCTCGACGCCCACTTCGGAGGTGTTTCACGTCGGTGAGCGAGCTCATCGACTCCCTACGCTGGGTTGGTCTGACTTTGTATCCCCGTACCCGACAGAGCGTGCTGTACGTCAGCGACGGATATTTGCTAGCACACGCGCCCATGCTTTGTCTCGCACTGTTATGCAAACCCCGACCTGGTACATCTCATTCAGACTTGGGAAGTTGTTCTTTAGCTTTGAATACTACTTACTTCCCAGTCTACTCAATGTAGCACTTGGTAAAGCGACTTGTACACGCCCCTCCGGTGCTGGGCCCGTATCTGACGGTGACCTGGCTATGTCCGGTCCCTGTGGGAAGTCCGGCGCTGCTCAACGCCTGTATCCAGCTTGTTTCACGTCGGTAAGCAAGCTCGTCGGTCCTCTACCCCTGGTATACGCTGAACAGTTGCAGTGCTCGTACGTTCATGAAGGGCAGATCCGCATAGAACATGCAAGGCAAACTTGAGGTCGCGGCGACGGAAGCTGGGCCACTCCGTGAAGTTAGTAAGCCTGTTTGGAAGTCGGATCACCGACTATCTGCCGCGGTAACTGTTGTCAGCATCGTGCCTTCCATACACAGCCCGCCAGCCCTCGTCACAGTCGCTTTACCCTCTTATATAGGGTACATGATCTGCAATGGGCGACTTCAGCAGCTTGTGTGAGCCTAACGACGCAGATTATGGTGAATTGGCAGAGTACCACAACGGTAGCTCTTGACTCCCGTACGTTCCCCCTTGCTCTACTCAAAGTTATTCATTAACTTGAATTTGCTTGACAGTTGCTGAAACCAAGGTTGCCCATCTCATCATCGGTATCTACTTGTACGTGCCCAATAGATACATATCTACCTTATCATTCTCAAGAACTTTGCGTTATAGATGGGATTGGTTTCTGGGTCTTCCATACGAATATAGGCTTTTGAAGCACAGAGACGCATGGAGATGGCCCATGTTTGTAAGTCTACTTTGCCCTGCTAGTGAGGTTTCATGTATTGACCAACCCATAGGTTTATCTAAGCTGCCGGGTGTCTGCATTTGCTGTCGTTGTGGTTAGCCTCGTCGTCTTCAATATGGTCGGTGAAGAGAATTGCGATGTGAGTATCCCTGCACGTATATGATATTTTCGATAGAATAATTGTCATTGTCATTGACAGGCCTCAACTCGTGTCTGCGTGGTTAGTGTTCCAATCACGGCCATTTGATCTGCTCACCAAACGTACCATAGATATTCGCGAATCTTGCCCTAGCTTTGTCGTCTGCCCTCATTGCTCTTCGAACGTGAGTAGATGCCACTTAGGAATTCGGATCGACGGTTCTGACAGTGATAGCAAGTGTTGCTATCTGGCAACAGCATAGGATCGCTACCCTGATTGTTCTCATGCTATGGACGACCAACATCGCTTTTCTCGTACACAGTATGTGACAAGGAATTTGATGCATAGACACGGCTCAAGTCTCTTACAGGTGCCACAGTTGTGGGTTACTGCTCTATCATGTGCTCCGCTAACACTTACCTTCCGTATTCTTAGAACCCTCAAGTTTACTGGGACCACCAACGGCAATCATGTGGGACTTATGTCAATGATCTTATTACGAGGCCGAACGTTTGGGTCAGCTTTGCGGTAGACCTTGCACTCATCATGACAATGATCGTTGGGCTATGGACGTTCAAAGGCGCAGGCTGTCTTGGGAGGCTTGTGTTCAATCAGGCTAGTCGTCTTCTTATCCCTGATCTAAATATATTGTTACTCACTGTACTCACAGGGCGTGATCTGGTGCATAGTTGCCACTATTTGCTACATACCTTCTGTTGTAAGTGGATTGTCAGGCGTGTTTATTTCTAGGTTAATATCGTCCATAGGTGCTCTTAGGTTTGAACCTCAATCGTTCGTTGTTTCCGCTAATGCAAGTTTTCGCATACTGATACTTGCCGTATAGCTCCCTTGAATATGGTATGTCTCGCTGTATCGATGTCGTTTATTAGATTCTAACTTATAAGAAAAGGTAACTCAAACACCAACTTGTAAGCAATAAGAAAACTTGTTATTATCGTCGTTTAACTATCAACCGCGGAGGTTATAGGTATCATAATGTTAGTCAAACAATCTTTTTTCGATAGTCCAACGCTCAACTTCGTTGGCATAGGGTTCTTTGTACCACCATGATGCATAGGCAACTAGCCCAGCATGTCAATTCCACTACCGTCCCGTGAGTAAGAAGCACGAGGTTCAGGTAGATTTTCTGATGCTTGTTCTCAAGTTCACTTAACATAAGCCAAAGCATCAAGTTCGCATGCTGCCCCGCGTCCTCCGACAAACAGGAAGCCTCCGAGGCACACTTTGATATCACCACAGTGCCCCCTGCACGATTACCAGCCACAAAGCGTGGTGAAAGGTATGCCCAACGCAACACTGACGGATAAAATTGCTTACTGGGATATAGCTTCATAGTGCGCACCGATAATTACAGTCACAACGATGGCAGTACGGACAAACGGACTTTCACATCTATAGTCTAGCGGACGGCGTCATGTCGTGATCCACATTTCGCATCTCCCGGCCTTGAACATCTCACTCGGACTTGGATATCTATCCTTTGGACTTGAACATCTGTCCTTCGCACTCGGATACTACTCATTGGTTAATCTAGCTACCGCAGTCCTTCATGATGCAACTCGCACACACTCAGTCGGTGTCTACCCCGCATTTGATAGTGACGCGTTCTGACGCGCCCTGACGCGCCCTGATGCGCTCCGCGCCACTTTCCCACCCCACCGTGTGCCCGAGTCGATATATATTCTCTGCCCCTCGTCGCCGAGCCTTTTCCGTTCTTGCCCCCGACTTCGATGTGCATAGTCGAACGCTTCAAGCGGTCTAAAGACCTCTATCAGAAAGCGTAATGTCCCCTTTATAATTGGCGACGACGCGTAGTATCCTTGTTCCTGCCTCAAGATCCGCTAGACTGCTCATGATCGCCGCGAAGAAGTCGACGTCGAACGTACCGATTATTTCATTTCAGCCTTAGTCGAAGCGATAAGTCCTTTCTCTTTCCAGCCATGTCCGCCACACCGCCAATCTTTCGTGGCACATTGGACGAGCGCTCCGCCCGCCACATGGCTGGGCGCACGGCCTCACACGCTCGGACCCGGACATTATAGTGCCAGCTCACCTCCTTCAATACACGGCAGCGCAGATCACAAGGATAGAATCCAAAGCTTCAATGTGCGCTCCGTACGCGGTCTCAAGCTCACACAACCAGGTCCGGCGGAGAGCTCAAAGCGGAAGATGTGGTGCCTCGTGTCGCTTCATTTCGCGTCTGACCAGCCTTCTCGCTTCGCTTCGCTGTCTTTCCCCATCAACCTGCCCGACACGGTCGTTTCCATGCAAAACCGCACTCGATGGGGTACAGTGGCGGTGATCTTCACGGTCTGCTGAACTTTGCAAGACAACGCTTGCGAATGAAGGACGTCTTGCATGCGAATACGCGCACAGAGTGATAGCAGCGATATGTGTGAGTGAAGCAAGTCGGCATTGCGACCCAAACGCATCAAGGGGCGCGAATTTGGAAGATCAAACGTAAGTGTTTTGGGCAAGCATGTCGCCGAAAATGGCTTCCGCTAACCGACACTCAGATGGTATATATATCTGTGCCCACTAGCTATGACCGCCCGCACCCTACGCTTCCCACCCCTGCCCCACACACTGACTCTAGTCCTGGCTGTCCTCAATCCCCGACGGCCCGCTGTGCGTGTGCGAGACTGGAACTGAGAGTTTGATACTGCTCGTATCACTCTTAATACATCACCAGGTCAGGCCTAGCTTGACCCCACTGTCGCTCGTTTGTCCTTCCATTTCCATCTTTCAGTTTCCCATTCCATTCCGCGTTATCGGGGCTGTCAGCCGCTTTAGACCTTCGACTCTTCAGCTTAAAAGACCCGGTTGTGCTGCTTCGGACAGTCTTCTCGCACCCCTCGCGCAAGAACGTTTTCGTTAGCTAGCTTTCGTCTTTGCTTTCGCTTTCTCGTTCTAGATATGGGTGTTCTCGTATACGGACTCGTCGCCCTGGTGGCCCTCTACCTTTGGTCGCGTTCGCGCAAGGCGAACGCAACTTTACCCGTGCCCCCAGGGCCCAAACCGCTGCCTGTCATCGGTAACATATTCAACTTGACGCCTAAAGAGCTTTGGCTACGCATGACAGAATGGGCTAGACCATACGGTGAGTACGAGCTGCCTCAGTACAGGCGTTGCAACAACGCCGCTGTGAGCACAGGCAGTGTTTGCAACACTGTCCGCCGTGCGAGACAAAGGTAAGCGCTGAGCACGCGCGCGCGCGAGGCAACAGAAGCGCTGGATCGAGGTACGCATTTAAAAAATGCCCAAGGTAAGGATCGAACTTACGAGCTGGGGGCAGAGACAAACGCGTTAACCAATTCGACTACACAGGCTTGTTGTTTGCATCAAGTGTACACCCTATATACCGATTCCACGCCCTTCCGAACCACAGACTTAGACAAGTCGCGTGTCGCCGCCTGCGCGACATTGTCGTAACATTGCTGTACAGTAAATGCGGGACGCCGCCCCACGCGACATTGTCACAACAAAGCGTTGACTTAGTGGTAAATAAATTGTACTCTACAGTAACACACAGAGAGCTATCGATACTTGACCTCGCTCACAGTGATCTGGCAGTCGTATTGAAAGAGGCAGCATTGTTGCAACAATGGCGCTTAGCCTGTCACAACAATCGATGGCGCGCAGAGTCGTCTGTGTTGCAAAAGCCACAGGGTTGGGTGGGGTATAGTGCTTTCAATGCCCCCCTCGCGTTCGCCGCGAGATATCGTACGATATTTTCTGAGTGAAAGAAATCTCGGCGATCGGCTTTCTTCGGCGAAGCACGCGTGACGTAGTGCCCCGTGTCCTAATTACGCGCGACGCGACGCGACTCCTGTATCTCACACGCAACCGCTACAGCCTGCTTTGCTCAAGCTCACGTTTAGAGCTAACATTCATACCTGCAGATGTGTGTTTTAGTTGCAATAATATCTTAGTGGGCGCACTCCAGGTACATCGCTTACCGCTGTGTCGAGACGAAGGCTTCAATGCCTGCCATCTAGCGTCGTATACCTAACAATCCGCGTGTTGAGTGTGTAATCTTTTGTTACAAGACCGTCTGTCAGTCGCGCTCACCACCAAATGTAACGTTGACGCGCACGGCGCCTTCGGGCGTGTTGCGGCCCGCTTTCAATATCGCTGGTGCTCGACGCCATTTACATAGACTACAGCCATATGCCGTTCTTCATCGATTCTAGGGGCAACGTCTCGTGGAACCCTCGCCCAAAGATCCGCTTCTATCCAAGCAAGACGTACAGTCGACAGCCTATGAAACTGTTGAGAGCTAAGTTTCGGGTCAGAGTCAGTGAGTACTATAGGAAAGCAATTAAGTTAGGAATCCCGGTCATATACATAATGTACGTACATTTGAAGTGTATATCGTTGTCCTCCACTAGATGTGATCACAGGGGGGGATGCCATCGAGGCGGACGCTATATATCGCGTTCTGACCAACGTCAGCATCTGACACTTCGTTTTGGAAGCCGGTACGGGCCTGCTGCGCACCTGCACATTAACCTATGAAGGTGAGCGATCCAATGAGTCCAGGAATACTTGAACATACGTCTGAAAAGAGCTAGACTTCTTTGGTATCCGAGTTCTTCACTGTCTGGACTCGCATCTCATTGTTTCACTCGCACTACTCGACTAGCTTGAAGCTCACTATATCCCCGTTCTTCTTGAAGTTACGCGCTTTCTACATGCCGATCTACTCCGCTGTCCAGTTGTCTACATAAATGCTTCGCTTTAATGATGCTTTCCGCGATATCACGCTATGTTTGATATAGAAATTCCTTTGACGTGTTGTCGCAGTCGAGCCACCATGCCTGCAGGAAGTATATTGTCAATGGAGCCAAGAAGCCAAGCTAGTCGAAAAGGACCGGGGAATGATCATCGACACTATAAAGGACATCATCACGCTTTACGCGCATGTAATAGATGAGAATGCGGAGAAGTATGCGCGTGTCGTTATCGGCGAGACTCTTCCGAACAAGTAAAAGATTAAGGTAGTCCTTGTCTCGTGTAGCAACTGAATCAACGTCGAACACCTAGATCTTCAGGCATTGTTCAGAATCCAGATAACTGAACGACCTCGATGATGGTGCTTACGACTGGCAGATCCCGATCGACAACATCAGTCCGACACTGAAATGGTCCGGGCGGTGGGGACTGCAGGAAGACACCATGCTCCTCGTCGGCGCGTACCTCTACGGCTTCGGCGGCTGGGAAGCGAGGCCATATATCCGCATTTAGGCTTGGACGGCAAGTCCTTCCTCGAAGAGGGCAAGAAGGGCGAGGACAGCGCCAACAGGCCCATCCCGAACGCGATACACCTTGTCCGGAGAGGAAACTCGCGAGCACATCGACAAGACATGTTCGACACTGATATGATCAGGGCGGTGGGGACAGCAGGAAGACACCATGCTCCTCGTCGGCGCGTACCTCCACGGCTTCGGCGGCTGGGAAGCGAGGCAACATATCCGCGTTTGGGCTTGGACAGCAAGTCCTTCCTCGAAGAGGGCAAGAAGGGCAAGGACAGCGCCAACAGGCCCATTCCGAACGCGATACACATTGTCCGGAGAGGCGACTACTTGGTTTCCCCCGCGGGCACATCGGTAGTATTTGTCCGACACTGTACTGATCAGGACGGTGGGGACCACGGGAGGACACCATGCTCCTCGTCAGCGCATACCTCTATGGCTTCAGTCTTAGAAAGCCAGGGTGAGGCTAGGCTTAGACGCGTATTCCGTCCCCCATCGAGAGCCTCGTCAAGCACGATCGCCTCGTCTTTGCGAGTAGGTGCATGGGGGGTTGATGAGGTTCTTGCGTAGACAATGCCAACATTAGGTCGTTCGAAGAGCAGTCCCGTCTCCGTGATGTCAGTAAAGTCTTGAGTATTTCAGTGTGAACGGACGTACTTCAATTGAATTTGCTGTCTTGAGGTAGCATTGCCAGTAGACATATTGTATCGATTCGTTCTTCCAGCGGTCGTACTACTTACACGACACTTGCCATCAACTGACGGTCCTGTGCGCCGCACATTGCAACATCATACCGTCACTGTTGCTCAGCAGCGACAGTGTTTCGGACACAGCTAAAAGGCACGACAGCAATGAAACATCGAAGCACACGAGGCTACACTCTAGGTTTATACAACAAAGTAAAGTCCTTCGCCGTCGGATCGGCGAGAGCTTCGACGCCACTCTCGGTGCACGCGCGGATCTCCTCAGAGACGTTCCTGATGCTGGTACCCCCCGTACGCATCAGGATGGACGTTTCGCCCGCGAAGACGTAGATCTTGTAGCGTGGGTCCAGCACACGCCATTCGCTTCGGACTGGAGTCCAGATCTCGAGTGGCGCGTGCTTGTTGACGTCGAAGTGTTTGAGGACCTTCGGCATGCGCACCAACTCCAGCCACCTCTCGGACAAAGGAACGATGACAGGGGTCGGGCGGTCCTGCCAGTGCTAGAGGTACTAGATTAATATGAGTATGCGGAGCGCGACGACGCACGTACCTTCGAGAAAATGAGAAGTCTCACTTTCGGCGCAAGAGTCGTTGTAGGGTACGGGTAGTGGGTTTTCCGACCTTCCACTCCGCGATCCACTTCCGCAACCCACCCCGGGACACCCCAGGGACTGTGCCCTGTCCAATAACCGCTGTCGCCCCAGTCGCCCGATCCCCTCGTCCCCTCGTTCTCGCATTCCTGCTCCGGCTGTAATTGTAAGTATGAGTAGTCGTCGGAATCTCGATGTATCGTGAGGGAGCTTACCGGAATAGTCCACAAACGCTGCCCCGCCGCATCAGTTCCCCATTCCCCGCTTGACCAACCCGTGTTGACAACGGGGGCGCTGGGCGATGGTGCCTACAAGTTTGGGGTTAGTACGATTCCCATTATATTATTGACACTTACCGGGTGGAGGGTCAGCTGCTCCATCGTCCATGGGAGGTCGTCGTTGTCGCGTTGCATAGCGGGAGCGGGCGAAGCGGAAAAAGATGCGCAAAAGTGAAGTGAGGTGTCCTCGGTTTTTAAAGACAGAAGGTGAGATCTGGTTTAATCCAGACTCTGGCGTCTCGCCAAGATACTGGAATCGAGCTTTAGAGTAAGCGCACGCAATCATTCTGGATAAGATCTCGACAAAACAGAGTGGGGATGTAATTGTTACGACAGCCAGACGAGGTACTACGAGGGAGTACTATTTTTTGTACTACAAGAGAGTACTATCTTTTTCACTACCACAAAAGCACCGGACACACTCAGAACCTCGGGATGAGCTCACTGTTGAAGTTGTAGATCCTTTTGACGGTGCTCAGGCGCAGTAAGACGGAGTCGGCGCGACCGCGGAAGAAGAAGATCATGTCGCAATCGAAGGGGACCCAGGTGGTCGTACTCTTGTCGAAGACGAGAAGCGATTCGTCATAGAGAAGCGAACCGATCTCGAGCTCGTGGCCAGAGAACTCCCGCTTCCACATCGGTTGGAATGTGGTTGCAGGGATCTGTCGAAGCTGTCAGAAGGCAGATGTCACTACTAGGAGGAACTTACTTCGCGCCTCCAGACCACGACACGCAGCCAAAAGGGGTCCGGCAACTCGTGCTAGAGCAAGTACAATCAGCACAAGGAACCCAAGTATAGGCGAATAACATACAAGGCCTGGCATCTCGTCGTCGTCGGAGTCGTCGGGGTCGTCGGAGTCGTCTTCTTCGTCAGCGTGGTCGTCGGAGTCGTCTTCTCCGTCGGCGTCCACGTCGGTGGTGTTTTCTTTGTCTTCGGCGGCGGGTGCACCGCTCGCAGAGCCGACGTTGGTGTTGCTCGATGCGCCCGCGGATGCACCAGTCGATGCGCCCGCGGATGCACTGGTCGACGGGCGTGCGACGGTGATGGCCGACGGGCCGGCGGATGTGGTGGTCGATGGGCCGGCGGATGTGGTGGTCGACGGGTCGGCGGATGTGGTGGTCGACGGGTCGGCGGATGTGGTGGTCGACGGGTCGGCGGATGTGGTGGTCGACGGGTCGGCGGATGTGGTGGTCGACAGGCCGGCGGATGCGCTGGTCGACGGGCGTGCGACGGTGATGGTCAACGGGCCTGCGGATGCGCTGGTGGATGTGCCCGTCATCGCATTGACCGCGTTGTTGAACGCAATGAGGGCCTCGCGCCGGGATTCCTCTATAGCACGCCTGAGATGACTCGCCTCTAAGGCGTCGAAGTCCAAGGAGGCGTCGTCCAAGGCGGAGAAGTCGAAGTTCAGTTCTTCGAATCTCTCCTCAGCAGCGTGGACCTGCTACAACGTAGACATGATTAATATAACGTCGTACACATAGAACACCGTACTTACAGG